TGGTTCCGCCGGCATGATGTATGCCCCGCCCCCCCCTCCTCCGCCTCCCATGGACCCTTCTAACTTTGTCACCATGATGGGCATGGGGGTGGCGGGCATGCCGCCCTTCGGGATGCCTCCAGCTCCCCCGCCGCCTCCACCACAGAACTAGACTGGTTTTTTAAGGAAATATATATTATATAGACAGAGTGGGTCTCGTTTAAACCACGCCGAACCTCACCATATGGAGCCAGACATTGGGACGCACGCGTGTGGCTGTGTGTGCACGCGGGTGTGTGTGGCACGCACTGGGCTGGGCCAGGCGACCAGGACTGACTCGCTTGGGTCGGGCAGGCGGTGGCAGGGGCGCCGGCCGGGGCTCTCCTGGCGCCCCGTAGCATCGAGTGTCTTTGTCTTCTTCTCTCCTCACCCACCTCCCTTTGCCTCTCCCCAAACGGGCCGCCAGGATCCCTCCCCGCGGCGGCGATGGCCCGAGCCATGAGAGTGAGGACTTTCCGCGCCCACTGGTGACCCTTCCAGGCAGACAGCCTCAGCAGCGCCCCTGGTGGACAGGATGGTTCGGCAAAGCGGCCTGAGTTGTTTTTGTGGACGGATCGGAACACGCTGGCTCCATATCGTGACGCTTTTATTAATTTTTTTCTTTTTCCTTCGTTAGTTCCTTATCTTTTCCTTTCTTCAGACTCCGTCCAAGGAGACGCTCTCCCCGGTCTTCTGCTGCGGCTAGGTTCCTTTCCCTTCTCTCCCGGTCGTCCCTTGCCAACGAGAGAGGAGCAAATGGGTTTAAGCAGGGCTTGGCCCCTTCACCTCAGGGTGGCGGGCGGGGGTGGGGAGGGTCCTTTGGTTCCGAGTTTTTCAGGGTGCCCTAGCCGCCCCCAGAGATGTTTAAGGGTGGTTTCTATCTCTGCCACCTTTTCATGAAAGTCCTGTATAGTTGCGGGGAGTGGGGTCGTCTCCAGGTTCTGGGGTCTGTGTCCACCCTGGCAGTCCTGCCAGCAGCGATGGGGGGCCGGGCCGCCCCAGGCTCCCCTGCCTGCTCAGCTCTTCCTGTGCTCCCGACCTCCCGAGCTGCCTGCTTCCATTTGTTCCCCTTTCCTGGAAGGCTTTCTTTACGTTTTGTTTTCATCCCAAACGTCCGAATGTTTGCGGTGTCCGGGGGTCTGAACCCCTTGTTCTTCTTTCTGCTTCCTTTTCTCCCCTCTTCCCTTTCCATGGAGTGATTATGTTGACAATAATGTATACTGCGCGTTCTCTTCACTGGTTTATCTGCAGAAATTTCTCTGGGCTTATTTTCGGTGTTTGGTTCAACACTGCGCTAAGGGGGGTGTTCCATTGAATAAAAGAGCAGTGTGGTTTTCTGTGTCTGCTTCTTTATTTACTTATTTTTTACTGTCCCCCTCGCTTCCTTATTTCCTTCTCACGTCCATTTATTTCCTCTCCCCAGCGGTAGCATCGCCAGAGTCGCCTTATCTAGTGCTCAGCACTGGCCTCAGCCCCTTCTCCCCAGGATGAACCGCGGGCCGTTAAGGAAGCCATTGCCTCCTCCCCGTAGGGGGCCTTGGCGGTGGGAGCTGAGTGTGTGGGTGGTGGGTGACACCGCTGTCTCCTCCTCGTTTGCAAGTGAATGTGGCCAAGAACCAAGTTCGCTCCTCCTTGGTTGCCCCTGGACTCTATAGTCTTGTCCTTTTGAAGGCCTTTTCCTGGGGCTTGGACCCCCTGCATCGGATGAGATCCAGTTGTGATTTGTGCCTGGAAGCTGCCACCTGACTAAAGCCTGGGCCTGGGGAGGCATCGACACGAAAGGTCAAGCCAACTAATCCTGCCTGTCAGGCACAACAGCTAAAATTAAAACCGCCAAGTGGCTTTTTTTCTTTCTCTGCTGGTGACTTGCAGCCTGCCAGCACTGCAGGCTTTGGGGAGTGCTGGGGGCCAGATAAAATGCCCCACCTTGTGCTTTGTAAGCACTTCGCAAAGGGTCTCAGGCTGGTTTTTCCCATCCTGGACAGTGGGTAGTGCCCCTCATGGCCCCAGAAAAATCCATGTGAAGTCTACACAAGGTAGCGAGGTCCTCTACAGCTTGTGCCCTGCTCCCTCTGGGGAAACCGAAGGGAGGCGTACGCCCCAGCGCCAGCCACGAGGGCCTGCAGTCGGGCCTGGACTGCCTTCCAGCTGTGAGCTGGGGCTGCTTTCTGCTGTGGCCTGGGCGTCTGGTCTGTCCAGGACGCCTGTGCCTCTGCTGCGTGCCTACGGGGCTGAGGAGTCCTCACCGAGCCGGGAGCTCAGGCTGGCTAAGCGGTCTCTCCCTTTGTCCTCAGCTGGCGGGATGGGGGCGGAGTCTGGCTACCCTTTTTGACCTTGGCTTCACCTCATTGCTTCCCCCACAAGCTCGGTTTCCCTGGTGGGCTCATTGGGCGGTTAATTAGCTCTTTGAAGCCTTGGAAGCAGCAAAGTGGCGCTATGTGGGTTTTAGAAATAAAATCAATAAATGACTTAACCACAGCCCAGCTATCTCCTCCTCCTCTCCCCTGAGGCCAGCTCCATTCCTCCGCTCCCTCCCTCCCTCCCTCTCTGCTCCCGCAGTCAGCTTTTGTTAAGGTTTTGGAGGGGAACAAAGTGGCTGGCTGAGGCATGGCTCTCCAAGGCGCTGGAGGTCCTGAAATGGAAGCGACTGGAGCAAACGCCCGCCTTTGCGGCGGTCGTGGAACGGGAGGAAAGCCCCTGCCTAGCCGGGGGCGAAATGGCAGCACCAGGGCTCCGTTACTGCGTCCCTGCCAAGGGCTCTGGAGAAACGCAGGATTGGTCCAGGGCAGGAGGCTGGGTTTCTGGAAACTTCGCTGTAAACAACCTTGCGTCGCTCAGGTTGGAAAAGTGTGCTTTCAGGGATCATTACAAGAAATCACAGCCTCTAAGGGTTTGATGATGCTGACCTGGGTGGGGCACGCAACGTGACGGTCCATGGGGTGGCATATCACTCCTGGACATAATCTGTAAAAAAGGTACTTGGAGAGACGCACCCAAAGCACACGAGTTGCCCAGTAGGAACCGCCCCGCGACGGGGTAGCAATAACCCCAAGTGCGCGAGGGTGAGCCTTGGATTGACGGCAGGAGGGGCAGGACCCTGGGGCTGGCAGCCCGGAAAGGGTGGGACTGACTTGGGCTGCCCGCTGGCAGGGAGGCGAAAGCCTTGCCGGCAAGAGGGATCAATGCAAAGGAGGAGTGTGTGGCCAAAGCATGCTGCCACGGTGGGGTGTGAGATGACAGCATGGTTTGCAAGCTGCTGCTTGCCCAGCGGTGACCGCCAGGAAACCTCCAGGGAACCAGGGCAGGCTGGGGTGAGCCTTGGCAGGTGCTTGGTGGAGGGTGGGGTGCAACCCTGCAGAGGTGCGACCCGGGAGCCTGTGCTGGGGGCTGAGCCATAAAGCAGAAGGGACCCGAGAGCTGCCAGCTTGCTTTTTTGAGAGACAGTTTATAGGCCAGGTGCGCTGGCTCATGCCTGTAATTCCGGCACTTTGGGAGGCCAAGATGGGAGGATTGTTTGATCCCAGGAATTTACCACCAGCCTGGGCAACACAGCAAGATCTCAGCTCTACAAAAAGTTAACTGGGCCTGGTGGTGTGCACCTGAAGTCCCAGCAACTCGGAAGTCTGAGGCGGGAGGAATGCCTGAGCCCAGCAGGTCGAGGCTGTGGTGGCCATGAGCGTGCCACTGCACTCCAGCCTGGGCAACAGAGTGAGACTCCGACTCCAAAAAGATACAGTTTATAAAAGACTTTTTTAGAAAAGCAGTTGCAAGTTACAGAAAAATGTAATAAAAAGTTCTTGTATTTCCACTACATCCATGCGGGCACTTGGTGTTTTTTCTTGATCTTTTTTCCTCCACTTGGAGACAGCACCATGGGAGAGAAGCCTGGCGACGCCCTCTGGGATGGGCAGGGGTAGGGCAGAGCTTGGGGGACGCAAGGCTTGGGTAAGTGGGCAGGTTTGGCCCACACGCAGAGCCAGATTCCAGGGCTGGGCCTGCGTGGCTCAGAAAGTCCTGGGAAACGACTTGGCTTTCCCTGGACCGGGCTCTCAGTAGCACCCTGCGCTGTCCAGGCCTCCCTGACCTGCTTCCTTGGCCCTCAGAGCAGAACACGCAGTTCTTGCCCCCACCGGCCCGCCCCCCGGGAGGCCCAGGCAGCCTCTGAAATAGCACAAGGCCTTGGGTCCCTTTCAAGTCCCAAAAGAGGACCCAAAGTCTGCCCCTGTGAGGACAGGCGGCAGCAGCAGAGTAGGTGGGGATTTCTGTTGTCTTCTGAGAATAGAAACGTGATCCAAGGCTCAGAAACATAAAGCAACCAGCCTAAGGTCACACAGCGCGTCAGTGCTGGGGCCAGGACATGAGCAGTGAACAGGGGACCAGCCATAAGCCTTGGAAGGAAGGGTCTGGAATCTGCTAGGCCACACAAGTGGTTTGAAGTCCCTGAGGTGAAGATTAGGCGCCCCTGTTGCAGGCTGGTCACTGAGCTGCGAATCCCAGCCTACTTAATCCCTGCCTGGTGTGTGGCCCCTGGTGGCAGGGCCTAGTGAGGGAAGGTCTCCAGTCACTCACCAGGCAGGTGGATCATCATTTAACCAGCTGGGTGCAGTTAATTCCAGTCTTTGGAGGCTGAGCTGGGAGGATTGCTAGAGCCCAGGAGTTTGAGACCAGCCTGAACATCGTGGCACGACTGTCTCCTCAAAAATCAAGCCCAGGGGTTCCAGACCGGCCCGGGAAACTTGGTGAGACTTCGTCTCTACAATAAAGAAAAAAATTAGCCGGGCATGGTGGCACACGCCCGTGGTTCCAGCTACTTGGAAGGATCGCCTGAGCCCAGCAGGTCAAGGCTGTGGTGGCTGTGAGTATGTGACTGCGCTCCAGCCCGGGTGACAGGGTGAGACTCCTACTAAAAAATAAAATAAACACCTGTAGTCCCAGCTACCCTGGAGGCTGAGGCAGAAGGATCTCCTGAGCCCAGGATGTCAAGGCTGCGATGTACCATGATTGTGCCACTGCACTCCAGCCTGGGTGACAGAGACCCCTACTAAAAGAAATATGTAATCATCATTAACCGATATTATGAGTGGGTGGGAAATGCCTCAGTTTCCCCCACCCCTGTGGGCCCACGGGACTACACTTCCCAGGAGCCCGTGCTCCAGGCTGGAGGCCTGTAGCCAAAGCTGGCCTGTAATCTGACTATCCTTGAAAAGGTCACCCAAGAGCTCCTTGAGGGACAGCGACAGTGGGAGCTCAGAGCTTGGTTTGGGTGGGGGTGGGGTGAGAGCGGTGG